ATTATTTATGTTGTTCGTATGCCTACTGTGTAAAATATGTATTATGTACCTTTGAGATGTATGTCTCTTGGTTTTAATAAAATCTGAAAAATCTGAATACATTTTTTCTGCAACGCTGTAACATTAGTTCCCAAAATTTTTATACAAAGAAAATATTTTACTCTATATGTTATGTATTCTCTTTAGAGCAGTGGACAGGTTTGCCTGTCCTCTTTTTCTAAAGAGAATATATGAGAATATATGTTATCTTGCTCAGGTGTATTACCCAAGGCTAGTGATTTTATATGTATTTAATGTTTTAAAAATCAGCAATCGTCAAACCTTCAAGTTAGGTTCCAATCTTAATGTATGTATTCTGGGATAATATGGATGAATATGTCAGAGACAAAATAATTTATCAAATTGCTGAAAATTATTGCAATGAGTTTAGTTCATTTATTTAAAACTGGAATAATTGGATTGAAAACTTAAAGTCATCACGTTAAACCTAGAGCTAGGTTGTCAGATTACCATTCACGTCTTTTCAAGTAAAATATCAAAATATGAAACAGATTTATCAGACTATGTGGTATCTTTTATTTCAAGCTTACTGGGATATCGACATAAGAATGGAAATAACCATTGTAAATTGACAATATGTCATTGATGAAACAAACGGAGATAACGAACAGTACTAGTATTCCAGATCAAAAGTCCATAAAACAATACAAAATAGGAGCAGAGTAAACACGGACCTCCAAAAACATCAAAGATGGGAACAGGTGACATGGAGGAGTGATTGTCCCCTGCCGACCGGCCACCCCGCCGAGTGCTCCTTGTCCCGATCTGGAAATAACGGGAAAATCATCGTTAATTCAATGCATAAATAATGGACTAACAATTAATATGAAAAACGTCAGTCAGCATTTGACTCAATGATAAATTGTATTTGCTGACAATGTCATTGTATCGACCATAGATCTAACGAAATGATGATTTTAAACGAGCCTGCTGAAATTCTTGTTTCATCAACTTGTTTGTCAATAATTTACCTCACGAGTCCAGAATCGTTGATGCATTATCTCTGCATTCATATAATTTTTATGTCATGTCTGGTTTCCTTAAAAACGTACAACAATGGGGACCACTGGTCTCTCTATTTATGTACAATACAAGGTGACCTCTGGTCTCCTTAATTATGTACATATAAGGTGACTTCTGGTCCCCCTACTGATGTACAATATAAGGTGACCTCTGGTCCCCCTACTGATGTACAATATAAGGTGACCTCTGGTCTCCTATTGATGTACCATATAAGGTTACCTCTGGTCCCCCTACTGATGTACAATATAAGGTGACCTCTGGTCCCCTTAATGATATACTGAACAATATAGAGTGACCCCTGGTCATATAAACATTTTGTTACCTATGGTATCCGCATAAAGAGTATGGAAACATGCAGGGTCTTATATTGTACATCAATATAGGATTTCATAGCTCACAAATTGTAGTATATGAATGACAGAAAGGCAATCTTATGTTGTACATTATTACGGTGTCACTGAAAGTTTTAAGTAGGCAATAATTTAAAATCGTGGTATGCGTAGAATTGTTTTTCAAATCCACTCAAAAAAAAAACGTTGCGACCCTAATTTTTTGACAGGGAAAAAAGTGTACAATTTCTCCGAATTCTCTAAATGTATGTAATTGGAGTCAACTTGCTTGTCTTCAAATACAGTATATGTATCAATCCAAAAGTAAATCACAGTAGGTGCATATTTTAAAGTTTTATTTCTTTTTTTTTAATGTAGTTTTGATTGGTTTATGAATTTGATGTGTAAATTCCAGGGAAAGGGGAGGAGAACTCCAGCCCCAACCTTCGCAATACACGGTGTACATCTTCGTTGTAAGATAATAAATAAGATCAGAGGTTTGCTTAATAGTGTTAAACTGATGAGATCGCCTTTTGAGACATGACACATAAAATAATTTATTAACAAATAATTGTTCCATTATATTAAAGGATCGCTGAAAAGTCCGAGCAAAATGAAGAGGTAGGGGGTGGTAGAGGGCAAGATCTTCCTCCTCCCCCTGCTTATTAGAGATCTGCGAATGCAGAGACTGGATGTCGTTTACTCTGAGTCGCTTACTATTAGTAAGGAGATCAGAGGTTAGGCACTGTGTTAAATAGATACTATAACATTACATGGAATATTAAAATCATGGGGGAGACCACAGGTCACCCAACGTAATATATGTTAAACTCTTATATATCTTATAATATTGCAGTTAATGTTGCTCACCCCCTTTTTTTTTTACTTTTCTAATACCCATCAGATGGATATCCTTTGACAAAAATAAATTTTCTGGGTATTTTTTTTACACTGTAAAGGCTTCACAGTAGTACCATTTATTCTATTTTCACTTATCACAACGCACTACATTTTGTAGCGGAGTAAACTGACCCGATAGTCGTGAACTTAGCAGGGGACCTAAAGTCCTATTTGAGCGTACGTTTTATCCTTCTGCGTTTAATTAACCTCGCTTATATATTTTCTGCACACGCAATGAAAATGCAAAGTGTTGAATGGCTCCCTGCATAACAATAAATATGCGTTACTAGTATTTCTTTTTGCCTAAAGAAAAATGTCTACTGACAATTTATATGAAATGTTGATTCTGATGTTTTTGTGCATTCAACAAAGAAATGATAGACTGTTTCTGTGTTGCTTCTTCAAAAATGAATAAATAAATAAAACAAAAACAATTTTAAAAACCGTTGTGGTGTTGTCGTTTTTGAATTAACTAGGTGGAGGTAATCACAAATTTTACAACCTGATTTACTTTCTTGTAAGGGAGTCAATGACTATATCTCAATTTAAAAATAAATTGTCTTAAATTGATATTATCTGTGTAATGAAAGTTATAACCTATGAGAGTTTTATTTGATTTATGAATAGAATACCGTATTTCAATCCATGTATTTGCCTCACTGGAATACATCATCCCCTATTTTAAAAGATATGTGATTTTCTCTTTTTTTACTTATTACCTAACAGCATTAATTATCTTTCAGAAAAATATAGAATCTGAAATCTTAGGTCTATCAGGCTAAGAATAGGATAATTATCAAAAGCTAATTAATGTTTAAGCTTTTTATTGGTCATCTATTATTATTGGTTACAAGGAAATACTAGTATATGGAGATAACGAACAATATTCAAGTCCTTAAACAATGCAAAATTTGAGCAGAGCAAACACAGAACTCTGAAACATCAGAGACAGGATCAGGTGCCAAGTAGGAGTGAGCATCCTCTGCCGACCGGTTACACCCTCCCTGTGCTCCTAGTCGTCGGGAAATACGAAAAAAAATCCGTCGTCAATTCAGCGTGTAAATAATGACTTAACAATTACATGTAGTATGAAAAACATCAGTCAGCATTTGACTCAATGATAAATTGTATTTTCTGACAAGGGCATTGTATATCGACCATAGAACTTACGAAATTATTATCTAAATGTTTGTCAATAATTTACCTCGTTTTAGAAATTGAACATACGTTGAGCATGCTCTTGGGCATCGAATCAACTGAGAGACATAAACCCTGTGTGCAGGTGATGAAGGTAAATTGCTGCATATTTATGGGAAATCGAGGATTGAAAAGTTAAAGTCATCACGTTTAACCTAAAACTTGGTTGTCAGATAACCATTAACATATTTTCAAGTAAAATATCAAAATATGAAACAGATTTTTCAGACTCTGTGGTATTTTTTATTTCAAGCTCACTGGGATATATCGAATCGACATTATTGTAAATTGGCAATACGTCGTCGATATATCTAAATGTCGACTTGAAGGCCACAGCAGTTTTTTTTCTTTTCATCTATAAGATTTTTGACAAATTCTGTTTCATATGAATACTATAATAGGTCTGCTAAAACGGGACGCAGTTGGTACCCATGGAGAATTTCAATAGATTGTTGGAAGATCTGGTCTCCAAAAACCAAATAGATATTATCAATCAGAAACTCAAGCATCTTTTTAATATCAATTTCAGAGTACTTGTGTGGACAATCAAAATGTTTTTTCATGAAATAATTTTTCAAATGACCAATGACAAGGTAATTAAATTTACGAGTTCATTTTTTTATTTAAAAAACAGCTGTCAGTGATATCAAAAAGCCTGGACTTTAATCTATCGCCGGGAATGGTTGTGTATGAAGTTGAAAAGTCGTCAACTTTTAAGCTGTTGATTTTGGTAAAGTCTTGTGATTTCAAATTTTCCAAAAGTTCCTTGGAATTTTTGAGTATCCACATCTGATTTACACCACTTCTCGAATATATTAATACACAGTACTCTTAAAGTTTATCCTTTACTACTGTTAATATTTTCGAGAGGAGTAAAGAAAAAGGTTTGGTAGAACATTTACTTGGACCCACCATGTATCTTTGTCTATAAGCAATTTTATGATTTTGGATTCCAATTTAGGTACGGTAACTCAAATTTCATTCTTATAAAGCGAGCTCTGTTGGATTACCAATAGTAGAATTAAATCTCAATTCCTCTAAAATAAAAATTATAATGACCCAGACAAACAAAGACAATGTTGTTACCTGCTTTCTCGGACCAGTACATACTGACCATTTTATGTGTCTTATTCTTTGATCACTCCTGATTTACTGAACACAGAATAATAGTTAGTTTTCATTTCGTCCACAATGGCTTAACGCGAGATTTTAACATACATCTGATAATCTAACATTCCTCTGGTACATATTATATTCATCTATTCATAAATCTATTTTTTGACAAACCTGTTTAACAATAGTTTGCATTTTTTCTAGAAATTGTTCAAATATGTACGTAGTGAATGCTATTGCGTATCGTGTCAACTAAGGGACATAAATTCCGTATGCAGGGAATATTGGTATATCACAGCAGAAGAAAGAAAACTTATTAACATGCAGAACTTTTTCTGCACACTCTGTAGCAAATGAAATTGAAAGTCTGGAAAAAAATTAATAGAATCATGTTCATTAATAGGATAGACATGTGAAAAGAAAAAGACAATATAATGTACAAGTATAAGAAAATTGTCAAAAGAGGTTAATATTGGCATCTAAATCAACAATCGATGCAAATTTAATTATATACATGTATAAATTGTGTTCTGACAATAATTTAAACATTGTACGGATTATCACAGCCGTGTCAGGAGTTTATTTTCATTGTCTACATATCCGCCGTTTTGACAGCCATTTTCAGTTGGCGCTTTCCCGTTCTCTATGTGAACAAGGCCGTTATTATGGATTTCCTTTTCTTTTTCTTTAGAATTTACGTCCATTTCAAGATTCAGAATATCTGTATTCAAGTCACCAAACACCCCGCCTTCCTTCGATTCTTTGTCCAGCTGTAAATTGAAATCAGATTTTCAAAAAAGAAGTTCACACTTGCATTTGAATGTAGCGATTTTCGTATGGTAAGGTAAATGGATTTAGGAAAAGTACATGTAGAATAATTCATTGTATAACTTTGGATTTTCAAAACCTACGTTAATGTATACCAGCTGATGTGCACTCCTGTTATTTGATCGGAAAATAAATAGTATCTTTCTGCTTTATATTCATCTTATGCCTTATAACTTTAATTCCAGATTTATAATGAATATCTAAGCAGGACAATAAAATAAATCTTGGACTCAACTGACCTCGTCAAACCTGACCCCGAACCTCATTGGCTTTCGGATCTTCTCGGGTAGGTACGGGAACAGAATGTCAAATAACGGGCAGATCAGCTTGGGATCCAACTTTTTAGGATCTTCTGGGCCTTGAAATAAAAAAATTACAAATATAAAAAAAATATGACACTTGAAAAAAAAACTGGTTTTATTTAAGACACTTAGATTACTTTTTGAACTCTAACCCTTTTTATAATCATATGAATAATGTCTTCAATATGCCAGTTATGCAATCAAATATCAATACATTTATGTTCACTGATTATTAAAAAAGGATCGAGTAAATATTAAAGTAAATATAATTATTTCATAATAATTTAATTCTGGTTGTAACGCTTTATTTGATTGGATAAAAAATTTACTTTATATCGTATAAAATGGGTTGCCTATGTCACAATGACTTTCGTCAAAAACGTATCAATCCGCCTGACGTTACATTCAAATTTTGTACAAATTGAAGTCATTTTGTTAGAACAATCATCTTTTTTTCTTACATCAAATGAATGAAAATTAAATTATAAGCAATGAATTTAATAGCTACCCATTTTATACGATATAAACTGGGTTGGGGCAGTTTACGCTTTATAAACCCCGAAGCGGTTTATAAAAAAGCGTAAACTGTTCCAACCCAGTTTATACCGTATAAAATGGGTAGCTATTAAATTCATTCCTTAATAAAATAAATTTTTTTCTCAATATTTGACATATTTTTCATATAACTTTAGAACCTACCCGTCACCAAACTGACAAGGAGACCGACCACGACCACAAACAGAACAGCTGTGGCACTGTACCACAAGTAAGACAGGGCGTACAGGGGAGCAAATATATTCCTGAAACAAAAAAAAAAATCAAATAACTACGGCAAAATAATAAGGTTAGAATGAAAGAAGAATTTTTTGGAAAAATTCAATTTAGAAAAGATTTTCCTTTTGTTCTGATGTAAATCATTTTACTACGCTTGGATCTGTAGATCTCTGCTTTATCTGTCCGAATTTTCTCAAGCAGAGAGCTACAGTTCTTCAGCTAATAAATCATATGATCTGCTGTAAAACACAAACATTTACAGAATTTGGAAACAAAATTATTATTAGGATTATTTGAAACAAATAATATTCTTCTCTTCTGATGACGCTGCTTCAGGCAGTATAAAGTTTGAGATGGACAGTTAGTCAGTGAGTAGGTACTACTCAGTCGGTGTGTGAGTACTTGTCGGTCAGTGAGGACCACCCATTCATTACATATGTAGTACTCAGTCAATGTGTGAGTACTCGTCAGTAACTGAGCACTATTTAATGAGTTAATGAGTACTCCTCAGACAGTGAATGAGTTCTACTAAGTCAGAGAGTGAGTACTCCTCTTTCAGAGAATCAGTACGTCTTTGTCAGTGATGCATACTCTTCCTCTTCCACCGGGGAAATGAGCTCTGTTGTATTGAAGTAGGAGGATGTCGTTGTAGCCGCGTTGCTGAGGGTTTTGTTTAATAACGACACGGTGGCCGGCGAGAGTGTGGTGGTAAGGTTCCAGTTACAACCACTTATGCCTGTCGGTGCCTTGGGGTTGTAGGGTTTATAAATCTGAGCTCCCACTCCAATCCAGAACATAAAAATCAGACCAAGAAACAGTCCACAATAGGCTCCCTAAAATTATAAAAATAAATTAATCAAATACTCAAAATTGACATAAAAAACCAAAATGGGCTATAGGTATTCTAGTGATAGAGAAGTAAGACATACTCAGTCAAGAACATATTTGCAAAACTGAATATAGAACACCATAAACTCGAATTAAAAGTGTCAAAGTCAATCCAGAATATAAAAAAAAATATAAAGAAATAGTCCACTCCAGACCAAACGCTAGATGATAAAGAATTAAACAAAGTCATTGAAGAGATTTAATTTTACATATACAACGAACATTTGTTTCGAAGATTTTCAGAAAATATGACTCAAATAATTGCATGCTTTTTATAATCATAATGATAACAACAATTAAATTTTTACTTACCCATTTATTTGACCAGGGAAACATCATCCCCAGGATGAAGAGTCCCAGAAGAGGACCTCCGATCATCCCAAACAAAGACAGTGCAGCCTACAGTAAGATTGAAATGGAATTAAAAGTTCGGTTATAAAGATATGATTTACGAACTTTTAACTAAGGAATGCTGACTGATGTTTACTAGACTATTGTCTATTCACTGAATTTATAAGTTTTCGATTTTTCATGACAAAGAACAGATCTACAGGAGATGATTACTACTCCATGACATCTGATCCCAATTCTGTTTTAGAGGTTTGTGTTAGCTCTGCTCCCAAATTGTACTTTCAGTGGACTCGCTCCATATTTCATTGAATTATTTCTAGCGTATTACATGTGTATTTAGGTATTGTTCATTAATATCGTATTGTAGAACAAAAACTAGTAGTTTTTTTTTATTTTTTTGTTGTATTTTCTATTGCTAGAGTTTATGCTAACTTTTCATGAATTGTTGCTCTTTTTTCTTAATTACTGGAATATGCTGCGCCGTATGTACCATGAAGTGGTTCAATTTTACGGACATTTTTATACCAATCATAAGGCCTTTGTTCTTATAATATTTTTGACTACATTATTCTTCATAACCTACACCTCATAATAAACCACTATTCAACCTAAAAAAAATCCATTCAAACAATTCAAATTAGGAGGAGAGCCAATGCGGACCTCCAAATCATCAGAGATGAGATCAGGTCGAGTGAGCATCCCCCGCCGACCGGTCACATCCGCCCTGTGCTCCTTGTCATGATCGGGAAATAATGGGAAAATCTGTCAATAATTTCGATTGTAAATAATGGCTGAATTATAAGTATGAAAAACGACAGTCATGTTTTAATTTGATGATCAATTGTATTAGCTGATAAGATAGAACTAACGAAATGATGACTTTAAACGACACTGTTGCAAGGTCTTTTCCTCTTAATCTGACAATGAAATGATCTGTCCACCTGATCAAGGACTCATGGCGGGTATGACTGATCAAAAAATGTACCTCTATGGCAACTGACCAGAGTTCCGTGTTTATACCCTATTTACAGATATTAGTTGTAGTTTATTAGATCGTTACCTTTACCCTTTTCAAATATTTTTATATATTAAGTAAAATTGTTGTTTTATATTTTCTTTTATACGTGTATAGCTCTTGGAATTACCGGGGTACATGTATTTTACGTAACGTTACAGCACATTTGATTTACTTCTCTTTTTAAATACATGTATGCTGTAGCACAGTACGTCTGTCGTATGAAGTTTCTCTTAATAAGAGTTATGATTTTTGTGAAAAGTAAAACGTGTCATTTTGGTCCAAAATCTGCATTATATATTCAAATGACTGATTGTTTAAACTCAAGACTCTTCGGATCACACTTGAACTAGATTCATCTGACATGAAACGAGTATTCTTTGCATTCGAGAAGAAATACTAGTTCATTTTTTTTTTTAAGTCTCCTTCTTGATACCATATAATTAGATAAAAAATATGACAAAATTTTCTCGTTATCTAGAATAATTTACATGGTGTATCGAGCTCACAAGTCACTGTGAAGATACCTTTTTGTTTAATGAAATATCTTACCTGCAGTACGCCCCCAAGAAGGGAAGCTACGTAAGTGAGGCCCAAACATATTATTCCGAATACAAAAGCTGCAAAATGAATTCATTCTTTTAAAGCATGTACATATAAATTACAATGTAATTCCAGCCACAAGGCTGTACACACGAAGTAAAGGAAAATAACAACTAATGAAATATTTAAAAAATATTCTGCAAAATGAATCCCTTTAATGTATATTATCGGTTTATTAGTACTTATCTATTTAAAATAATTTCATGGAAACATTTTCCTGTAGTTTATTCTATGAATAACATAAGAAGAAATCAATGTAACACACCGAGCACTTTGGATGTGTTTGTTGCAGCATTTTCAGAAAGATCTTTGAAGAAATATGCCTTTATAACGTCTTCCAAGACTACAGCGGCTAGGGCACTTAATCCTGAAGATATCGTGCTAAAAGGCGAAACAATTATCATTAAGTATAGAAAAAATTTGGACAATCATTTATGACTCTCATTTTTACATAATCCGTCTGTACATCAAATTACGATTTTATTTTAAATAAATTCAAGGAAGGATGAGGAATTGCAATTAACAAAGTGCAAAAAAGAAAACACAAACATATACAACAAACCTTAATGCTCCGCTAAACAAACAAGCGACGAAAAGTCCTGGAAATCCCTTTAAATACCCCAGCACATCCATCACAAAAAGGGGGAGAAGCTAGAGTTAAGAATAACAAAAATTAAAAATAATTTAAAAGGTGACCATCCGATCACAGTGAAAAATGCTTTTATTGAATGATAAGTTGATATGTATTCCAAGAAAACAAACCAATCATAGATTGTAGTCAATTTTTACATTTTCATTCAACTGAATATTTTAAAGTCATTCATCGGTCTTAAAATAGTAGTTTTTTGGACAATAATGACGGGTATTTTTGTGTGTAAACTATAACAAAATTAACTGTTTAATCTTAATTTTTGGCTCTTTTTTAACATGTTTAACAAAAGTAATTGTTTTATATATTTGTCATTTTTAGTGAAAGCTTACCTGATCTGAGGTTTTCACGAGATTGAATGTAAAGGGATCACAGTTACTGTAGAAGGCGTACACGACCATTCCGATCAGACAACTAAGGTACAGGATCAGACACAAGCCAGGGAAGTTTATCCAGATAGCTCTGAAATTTATACAAAAGACCTCAATAAAGTGGAACGACAACAATATAGCCTTATGGCAACTTTCATTATTTCTTGTTAGTTGTTACGAAACGATTTTTGAATCTTCTGCAAATACATGTAGCTATGGTAAAGAAATTGAACCATCATGTTAAAATCAACATAGTTCATGGTATATACTTCACATCAAAGTATTTAAGAGAAACAGAAATGTACTCACAACTGAGCCTTTCTGAGAGACGGACAAGTACAATAGCGCTGTACCTGTGCCTGATTGACACCGTATATAGCCACCCAGGTAAACGCCCCGCCAATCACAAGGGACCAAACACTGTGCCTGACCTTAGGATCTGGGTTAAAGCTACACAAATTAAAAAAACAATTTTTAATTATAAGTATTTGGTTAAAAACCAATATTATGGGGGTCTTTTAGAAATATTTTTTTTAAAATTGTTTAAAAATATCATCAAATGCATATATGTTATTGGAAAACATATTCTACAGTTATCTTAAATCTGTATTATATTTATATCATGAGATAATTTATTTGTACTTTCCACAATCATAACTAAAAATAATATTATGAGGAAATATTTTATGTGAAGGCTGTTATAATTTTTAGATCATAATTGGTTTCACTAGTATGTGGCGACAAATTTAAGTATAGACAAAAAGAAAATCTTTCCAAAATGCAAAAATTCTATCTAAATTATCCTTAAAACTTAAAATTGAATATACAAAAATGTTTGATTGTTTTCAGTATTATAGCATGAAGGAGATAACGAACAGTATTTAATATCAAGTCCATAAAACAATACAAAATAGGAGCAGAGCAAACACGGACCTCCAAAACATCAGAGGTGGGATCAGGTGCCATGGAGGGGTGAGTATCCCCTGCCAACAGGTCAGACCCGTCGTGTGCTCCTTGTCAAGATCGGGAAATAACGGAAAAATGCGTTTGTAAATAATAGATTAACAATAAATATGAAAAACGTCAGTCGGCATTTGACTCAATGATAAATTGTATTTGCTGACAAGGTCATTGTATCGACCATAGAACTTACGAAGTGTTGACTTTAAACGAGACTGCTGATATTTTTGTTTCATCAACTCGTTTGTAATTGATTTACCTCGTTTAAGAAATTGTTTATGGGTAGAGCATTCTCTTGCGTATTGAATCAACTGAAAGATATAAACTTCGTATGCAGCGTATGCAGGTGATGAAGGTATATTGCTACATAAGTAAGGAAAGTTGACGATAGAAAAGTTAAAGTCATCACGTTTATCATAGAGCTTGGTTGTTAGATTACCATTAAATAACGTCTTTTTCAAGTAAAATATCCAAGTATGAAACAGATGTGTCAGACTTTGTGGTATTTTTTTTTAATCTCAAGCTCACGGGGATATATCGTATGGACATAGGAATGGAAATTACTATTGTTAATTGACAATACGTCGTCGATATATCTAAATTTCGAGTTGAAGGCAACAGCAAGTGTTTTCTTCTTTTCACGCATTAGATTTTGCACAAATTCTGCTTCATATGAAAACAAAAATAGATCTGCTAATAATGGAGTGCAATTGGTACCCATAGGAATTCAAATAGATTGTTGGAAGACCTGGTCTCCAAAAACTACATAGATATTGTCAATCAGAAACTCCAGCATCTTTTTAATGTCAACTTCAGAGAACTTGTGTGTGCAATCCGAATGTGTTTTAACAAAATAATTTTGCAGATTACCAATGACCAGTTAAGTAAATTTAAAAGTTCCATTTTTATTGAAACAGCAGCTTTCGATGATATGAAAAAGCCTGGACTTCAATTCATCGTGGAGAAAGGTTGTCTATAAAGTTGAAAAATCGTAAGTTTTTAAGCTGTTGATTTTGGTAAAATCTTGTGATTTCAAATTGTCCAAAAGTTCTTTGGAATTTTTGAGTATCCATATCTGATTCACACCACTCCAATCTATAGCATCTATAGAGCATTAGACCTTGCTAACTTTCTTACTTATTCTAACGAGTTTTTCTCATAAAGTATATGGAAATGACTAACAGTATTCAAGTTCAGGCGTCCATTCAAACAATACAAATTGGAAACAGAGCTCACATGGACCTCTAAAACATCAGAGGTGGGATCAGGTGCCATGAGGAAGTGAAAATCTCCTGCCTACCGGTCACTCCCACATTGTGTCCTTTGTCATGACCGGGAATTAACGAAAAAGGTCTAAGTTTTCATAACTTGTAACCAATTCCTTTATATTAGTTATACAATGATTTTTTTTTTTTTTTAGAAAATAATAAAAAAAATCTGTCGACAAAACAGTGGGGGAATAATGTCATAACATTTAGAAAAAAAAGCGTCAGTCATTATTGATTTAATGATAGATTGTATTGGCTGACAAGGTCATTGTATCGACCGTAAACATTCTTGTTTCATTAACTTGTTTGTCAATAATTTACCTCGTTTTAAAATATTTTCTTCCTAAACATTTTACTTACTCTGTGAAATAGACTCTTCCACTTTCCTCAGCTTTTTTCCATGCCTGATCAAATCCACCCAACTCTACATTACCCTGGATAAGAATTGCGATAAGTCCAGCAAACATCATCCCTACTTGAAAGGAATCGGTAAAAAGCACGGCTTTCATTCCACCCTGAATTTAGAAGAATAAAAAATGAATAGCCTTTGTCAAAATCATACCTTATGAACTGCTCTAAATAAATTTTGAAATATCTTAAACTAAGCAATATGAAACTCTTATGTTCATTTTTATATGCAATCTGTTTCAAACAAATATATGATATTCTGACAAGAACAGCTTAACAATACTTTTATTGTCCCCCGCTTTCGCGAAAGCAAGGGGACATTAAATCTCATTCGTCTGTCCGTCAGTCTGTCAGTCTGTCCGTCTGTCAGTCCGTCACAAAAACTTTAACATTGCCCATAACTTTTGATTTAGTGGAGCTATGACTGTCATATTTCACATGTGTATTCCCTGTGATAAGAACTTTTTTTGGGTACCATCAAATTTGACCTTTTGACCTTGACCTTGGAGTTTAACGCACTTTTACACAAAAATTCCAAACTTTTACTTTGGCTATAACTTCTGAATGTTAGATAATAGGATTTTCATATTTCAAATATATATTCTTTGTGACAAGACCTTTTATTGGATACCAACAACTTTCACCATTAGACCTTGACCTTGGAGATTTCCGTACTTATGAATAAAATTTAACCTTTACCATAACTTTTGAATGGTAAGCGCTAGGACTTTCATTTTTCATATATATGATTCTTGTGAGAAGACCTTTCATTGGATACCAAGAACTTTGACCCTTTGACCTTGACCTTGGAATTTGGCCTACTTTTCAAAAACTTTGACCTTGGCCACAATTTTTGAACGGTAGATACTAGGACTTTATTTCACATATGTATTTTTTGTGGCAGGACATTTCATTTAATATCAACAACCTTGACCTCTTGACCTTGACCTTGGAGATTTTTTGTACTTATGAAAAAACTTTAACTTTGACCATAACTTTTGAATGGTAAGGGCTAGGGCTTTCATACTTCACATATGTAATCCTTGTAAGAAGACTTTTCATTGGATAAAAAAAAATTTGTCATTAATCTTTACAAACATTAAACAAAATAACATTATTAAAAAAGATTTTTTTAAAAAACGAATTCCCACTTTTCTTGTCCTAAGCCAAGGGACTTTTTAAAATGAGTCGTTATATTTCTGAATACAATTCTTCAATAATTTCAATCACTGGTTCAAGGATTCATGTTTAATTTTAACACTCTCTTATTTTTTTTTTATCAAGAGGAACACGCTATAAGTATGTGATCACTGTAAGAAACACGTTTTGGGCGATTTAAAACAAAATAAAATCCCCTAAAAATACTTGTTAGGTTGATACGTTTTCTTATCACTCCCAAGTCACCACGAAAGGGGATGTCGTAGTCATGAATACAGGACACTTGGTGTTTACCTTGTAATTAAAATCTGATTTACTTAATGCGTCCAATACCATCTAACCAGAATTATTGTCACAATGACAAAAAAAAAATTAAAAATGTGAGAGAAAAAGTTAGAAATTAACCTAATAGATAAACTTAACATAACTACTTAATCTTGGGGTAGAATACAATAAAACACCATCTCTTCGCCCATCAACCCAATGCTTTACCTCAAAATTTTGAGTGAGAAAAAAATGCATAGTTATTAAACAGAATTATTTCAAATTCAATTAACGTTAACTTTATTGATGTGTTTGTTTGGATACAATCTTTGATGTTAAGTCTTTTCTATACGTCCTAATGAATTAAAATAGAAATTAATTACAATCTACACGAAGCCTTACATTGCTAGCTAATACCTACTTCTTGAAGTAAACGAGCTCATTCTCCAAAACAACTGTTATTCCCAAGGCCTTCTTATTAATTTTAAGACATGGAAAAGATGATATTTACTTAATTTAGTTACGAGTAAAGCATAGCATTGCTATAAAAATATTTTATGCATAAAACTTTTAAAAATTTTTAATTTAAAGCTAAAAGGTTTCTGAAGAAGCTTAAGAAAGTCAACACGTGGACCCTTTACCTACAGCACCCAGTCTACTGTTTAATTACGGATGTTGTCCAACACAGACTCATTAAGCCATCACGTTTGGCAGAAGGTAATTCTGATTCAACCCGTCGGTTACTTACCCCGAAATCCTAAATTGCCTATGAAGGAATAGCTAACTCTCTAAATAACAAGAGGCCCATGGGCCACGTTGCTCACTTGAGTAGCTTGCCCTGCTGTTCTTCACCAGGTCCCAGGATCATGAAACAAATTAAGCTGAGGTCAAAAATTTTGTACAAAAATTTCGTAGAAATCAAACAGACCAAAATTAGTATATTTTTCAATATTGTTTCACAAAAGTTTTTTATCTGCCAATTAAGTGATTGATTCAATGATTAATAAACAATTAACAGGCGATTAAAAATTTGTCATTAGTCTATTTAATGATCCGGGAGTCAGATTTCCCCCTTGTAAGAACTATTGTGGTCCCATTCTATCCCCGGGGATCGTGAATTGAACAATTTTGAATATACACTGCACAAGGCTGGTTCCAAATAATTTTCAGCTTTTCTGGCTCAGTAGTTCTTGAGAAGATTTTTAAAGAATTTTCCTTATATATTAAAACGTAGAACTTGGATTCCCTATTGTGGCTCCGCCTGAACTATGCATGATGCCTCAACATTAGTTTCAGCTTTTCTGGCTTAGTGGTTCTTGGGAAGAAAATTTTATAGATTTTTCCTATAAATTTCAATGTAAAATTCAGAATAGATTTGAACAATCTACTCCGGGATGCCATATAAATTTCAGCTTTTCTGGCTTACTAAAGAAAAAGATAAGTTTCAGCTTTTCTGGCTTAGTGGTTCTTGGGAAGAAAATTTAGCTAATAAAACAGCTCAGTCTTGCATTCCCTTACATTTAAAGTCAAAGATCTATACCTGCATTTAAAAAAAAATCGCTTTCTTTTCAAAACTTGTTAAAATCACAGATACATTGCAAAGCCTACGTATTGATCTTTTCAGAAAAAAAATATTCTTATATGTTCTTTCAATTACAGCCCCAATGGAAAAAGTCATTAATTTCCTAATCTTTACATATTTGAAATGTCGACCAAAAAACAATAATCTGAACAGGTATCAAATGCAGCAATATGCGATCTTTAAATGCTCTACTAATACCCCATCTTCACTTCTCACAAAAATATTGAGTATTGTAAAATACCAAATTTAGAGGGTATATTCTGAAAGTGGTAAAAAACAAACGTGGACTTGCAAAAAAAATTAAAATCACCAATATTTTAAATAGTCGATTATTCTACTGTTAATACTGACAAGCAACTAACACAACAGGTTGATGTTACAGAGATTTAAATCACCTCCTTTAAAATCAACATTTCAGAAATTTTATAGTCTTTATAATGATCTCATTAGCAAATATGACGTAATATAACCTATCAACGAGTCATAATTTGACCGATGTTTACATGTAACATTTAGAGACTTTACCAACTTGAACAATTCACTAGCAGAGATTCTGATTCCATATCAATACGTTAAGCTCAAAGAATTATTGTTTGTTTTCTTCTGTCATTTATTATACTTCTCATAGCACACAGACTGTTATGCATGAAAAGCATGAAAAGCAGCTAAGTGCTACAAATCAATTAAATCAACCATATATTTAAAAAAAATTGCAGATTTATCAATTTATATCGATAAAAAAGTTTTAAACTGTAATTTCAATCATAAATATTTTTTAAAAAATCTATATTGAATCCATATTGAAAATCTTAAAAGCAACATCTTTCATTAACGTAAATATACTTACTATTGTGGTGTAAATTGTGCACACAATCCCCACTGAGATTACGGACCCCCATAATGTAAAACCAGTCACTAAAAATTAAAAAAAAAACTTTGAAGAGGGTATAGATGCAATATTTATTAGGTATAGATGCAATATTTTATAAACGTATTTCTGTTTAACTCATTATACCTCAATAGTTTTAGAATTGTGATCAAGAAAATGCTGAATTTAATAACTAAAAAAATCTAATTCATAATTATTATTTTTTTAATAATTTTTCCAGATTGATTTCATGAATTAGTATGGTCCGTAACTTCGCGTGCCTATTTATTATTTTTTTAAATAAAACAAAATCTTGCAGGAAACAGCCATTGTTGCTCTTGAAAATTTTTTTCTCAGATATGTTAGGAAAGATTAAATTATTCTAAAGATCATTTTGTTACCTAGAAATCTCAAGCCTCACAGGGGTAAAACATTTTGAGCATAAAGAGCACAACTTTTACAAATCAATACATTAAAATAAGAATTCGATAAGGGTTTATGCATCACAAAATGTGGTGGTCTTCAAATCACCCAATTGTCAAAATCGTATCTTTGTGGACACTCAATTCTTTAAATAACACATACTTTTCGATATGCTAATGTAATGCAAAATATGAAGTAAAAAAAGGCTTGATTTGAAGTTTATTTCCTTCTTTCTTTCTTGGACCATTTTTTCGCATTATCTTGTTATTGAATTTGCAAAATTACGGACCATATTTTATTTAATTCTTGTATAAGTTAATGCAGTACCTGAATTCAAGGCCAAAGATGGAGCGTACAGTACAAGGGCCATGTACAAAAGCTGAAAAAAGTGTATGTATTGATTTAAATTTACCTGTTCAGAAAAACATAGACATGTATCATCTTTGTGCAATTGGGGTCCTTGACATGTTAAAATAGATTAACCGAGAATAAAAACCGGGAAGAATACAGCACTTTAAATAGCGATTTGAGTGTACATGTTTAAGAATATTTTAGTGATTCAAATAGTCTTTAACTATTTTATGAGAAATCTTGACAGCATAAACATTTTGTAATCGACGCGTTACAATGCTGCCCTTTAATATATGCGTTCTAATGCTAGAACTTTCGACTCTCTGTAGGAGAAGGGTATGTGTAAAACACGAAACCAGAAACAATGGACTGCCAGATTCAGCATAAAACACCCAATGACCTTAAAATGCCACCAAAAGGGGGCAGAATATGCATTAATTTCACTTTGTTCGATAACAGATGCAGCATGAAATGAAAAAAACGTGCACAACTATCTCACATACAAAAAGTGTTGACAGATTTATTAATTAATACACATGTCAATTACAGCTGAAAAGTACATAATAAACAGATAAATACAGATTCCCTCAAACTATATATATAAAAAAATTCTGATCGTTACATAATCAAAGTATAAACAAAACATTGAATAATATAAATATTTATTTATTTCTTATTTGTTATATATGTAGTAAAGATATCTATTATGACAGTGACAATAATTTTCATCAATGATATAAGTAAACCACAAAGAACATATTTTTTAAGAAATTAGCTCCCATCAACCTGAGGTAAAGTCAGAGATTAGAGTTCTGACGTAGAAATTTGTACCATTATAAATAGTACCCTGGCGAAAATACATTCAATTAGTCTATCAATGAAGGTATCATTTATAAGCAAACATTGTATCATTTGATTACAACATTATTATTTTAATCAAAAACTTAGTCTTTCTTTCAGTTAATACATGTACTATCGTATTAATTAAATCTGTTAACATTTTACTTTTGTGTGTTGGAGATAGTTGTGCGGGTTTTTATTTCACTCTGCATCGGTCATTGCACAAAGCGAAATCAAAAGCAAAAAATGTCCCCATTTGTTGACATTTAAAGGTTATTATGTATTTTATGCTAAATCGGACATTCCATTCCATTGTTTCTTGTTTCGTGTTTTACATATACTCCTTTAGAGATCGCAATTGCCTTATATGGAAATCACGTATAGTAACAAGATTTTTAAAATTTAACCTAATTGGATAAGAGCATTTTGTTCTTTGTATCCCAGACATGAAAATTATTTAACGTGTGTCGAAACACTTTTTGCTTTTGTGTGTTATAAAGGATTAAACTTAAAACGTATCACATTCCATCATCATTTACAAAAATGGAGAGGGCTTATATAGGCTACGCCTGCTGCCCAATCCATTTATGTAATTGTTACATAATAAAATATGTTCAAATAAGAAAAAAACATTTGCAAAAAGAGTGACAAAATTTCGTTTTTACTTCAAAGACTATTCCCCATTTTCAAAAGGTGAGTTATTTCCCCTGAAGGGAACTCTTTTACTGTGTTTAATACGCATGCGCTATAAATAAAGTCACTTCCGCGGACGTTCTTGATATATATGTTCATGGTGTAATGCCTCTGTCATATGGAAAAATGTTATTGTGTTTGAGAATAAAAAGAAATCTTAACTGATTCGTATTTTTTTAAATTGCCCACTCATTGTCTCTTTCTGGATTTTTATTAATCTGTATAGTAGTATAATAAGGCGCTGTGTGACCCCCCCCCCCCCCCCTTACAAAAAACAGAAAAGAAACAAATTACTGATAAAATGCTGATGCATATTCGAATAGGCCTATTTAAAAAAAATAAAAAAAAAAAAATAAATAAATAAAATAAAAAACAAATTTTCGGTAGTGGATGTTCTGCAGACGGATCATCACTATTTACAAAATGTGCAGAACAAATGTAAGAATTTTTAGTTTTTACGAATTAATCTAGCATGCTGCAGCCATATTTTCTTCTCTGCATCTCTAGGAATTTTTTGGAGACTGATGACATGTCCATCTACAGTTTTACCCCTGAAATTGTTGCATATACAGCAGTAGTTCGTCTTCCGCGACCGATACCAAGAAACTGCGTTTTTGCTCGATTGTATGTCATAAAATAGAATTTTTACTTACAAGAACACATTTGGTGACAATTAAAGGCCTATTTCCTTTGAATTAACCGTGTTTCCAGAATTTTTTATTTGTAAAATAATTGATTCACTGCATGCATAGTATTAAAAACTTTGAATGGAATTCCAAATGAATAATTTAATCTCATGTGCTCATGTAACGAAGAAAGACTAATTAAAATAGCATCGACCTGAATTCGTGTTACATACGTCGTATAAAGTCTGAGCTGCATTTAATCAAAGTTTTAGTGCAGGATCTAAGCATATGTACATGCATATTCCCGAGGAAAATACACATTTTGTTTTAGATCAGAGAATTGACAGCAGAAACACGAAATTGATACAATAATTTCCTAGCGTATTTCTTGTTGATTAACGGAAAACATTCTTTTCTCAAGTGTTATTCATGTTTTACTTTTTCTATTGAAAATGTTCATTGAAAGCTGCCATCCCCCCCCCCCCCAACACACACACAGTTTATATTACGGTAAAGTTATATAAGGGAAATGAAGTATTGTATGCCAAGGAACTGGTACTGAAATAAGTAGCTTTTCGACTTTGGGCTAGGTTTTTCTTTGCTTGTCAACTTTTCCAGGTAAGAAAAAACATATTTCTTTATGCCCCCGCCCCCCCCCCCCCCACTTTTAAAGACGATGATACGTGCCTGGCTAATTCGTATAGCTTTCTAGAAAGGGTGGGTGGGGGGCTAACAGACCCTTTATAAAATCGCTTATTATCTAAAAAAAGAAGCAAACCGTTTCCTTCTTTTAAAATTTTTAAATGCAGTGTGTAAGTTGATCACTATTTTGTTGTTGGATTATCGTAACGTGTAGTCCGCGGAAGTTGTGCTAGTGTAGAAGAGTTCCGATTTTGAGGGGAGATAACTCACTTTTGAAAATGGGGAATAACTTAATGATAGTTTTTAAAATTAGTAAAATTGATAAATATTTCACCTTATATATATTCTATTATTATACGTAATATAATGATGAAGTTACATTATACTTGTTTATGTAGTTTATGGTTTTACCATCTGTACGCAAAAGGTCATAGATCCAGCCGTCCGGACTCCCTTACTAAACCGATGCTCCAGATACTGTAAAGATAAGAATGGTATTGTTAACCAATTGAAGTGAACTTTTGAATTAATGAACAGTAATTAAACATAGAAGTCCATTGAAACAAATTGGAATCAGAGCCGACACGGACCTTAAAAAAACATCAGAGGTGGGATCAGGTTGCATGGAGAAGTTATGTTATATAATTTACTATTAGATCTTTGGGCTCCATGCTTTACATGAAAAGGATACCTAAGGTGTGTATAAAATCAAGACATCCTAAACAAAGATACATACATGTAACGGGTTCCAGTAAATGATCAAACAAGCCTATTTCTATACTCCTCACTGAGATATTAACAGTAGTGAAGAAGAAACTTCAACAGTACTGTGCGACAAAATATGCAAGAAGTGGTGTAAATCAGATGTGGATACCTCAAAGTTCCAAGGACCTTTTGGACAATTTAGAATCACAAGATTTTAACAAAATCAACAGCTTTAAATCTAATGATTTTTCAAATTTATACACAACCATTCCATACGATAAATTTAAATCCAGTATTTGATATCATTGACAGCTGCTTATTCAATAAAAATGGAACTCGTTTTAGAAATTCGTAGAGCTTGCTCTTGCGTATCATTTAGATACATATATATCGAAGACGTATTGTCAATTAACAATGGCTTTTCAATTTTTATGTCGATATGATATATCCCGGTGAGCTTGAGATAAAAGATACTACATAATCTGATGCACCTGTTTCATATTTGGATATTTCTCTTGATAAAGATTTTGATGGTAATCTAACAACTAAGCTCTAAGATAAACGTGATGATTTTAACTTTTTTATCGTTCACTTTCCCTATTTATGCAGCAATACACCTTCATCATCTGCATACGGAGTTTATATCTCTCAGTTTATTCGATACGCAAGGGCATGCTCTACCTATGTACAATTTCTAAAACGAGTTAAATTACTGACAAACAAGTTGAAGAAACAAGAATAACAGTAGCCTCGTTTAAAGTCATCATTTCGTAAGTTCTATGGCGATACAATGACCTTGTCAGCAAATACAATTTATGCCTACTGACGTTTTTCAGAGAAATTGTTAGTTCATTATTTACACACTGAAATGACGACGGATTTATGGACTTTTGAGCTTGAATACCATTCGTTATCTCCATATATTTCACGCGACAGAAACAGAGAGAGAGAGAGAGAGAGAGAGAGAGAGAGAGAGAGAGAGAGAGACTGATTCGTTGTTGACTGACTTTCTCTATCTTTATTTCCTTCTTTACGTCTGCTTTATCGAAAAAAAAATGATAAAAATTAGAACAGGAGGAAGTTTTAACTGTACTTTAGATTAATTTTTCTTTCGTAAGAAACCATTGGATGCAGAGGAATATTTTCATTAGTTGAATGTGATATGATATACTATGCTGAATGAAATTATGTGATACGTTTTAAGTCAATATATGAAAAATATTAGCATTTATCTAACAAATAGATATGATCGATTATATGACATAAATGTAACAATGTTAAATAACACAGTGAATAAGAAAATACATAAAATGTTGTATATGTCCCTAGGTATACACAAAAAACGTCAACAACTTATAATTTACAAGCATTTTTGAATAATATTATATTATATATTTTATTAGCAGTATTATTATTAAACAGAGGCCTCGGAAAGGAAAAAAAGACCCATATAGTCAAAGAAAAGCATGCATATTTGTTATGAAACAACAATCATTAAATATTTTAGATTACGTCAGTATGCTTTTTAATGACTTTTAATAAACATTTGAATCTCTACTACAGTAAAAGGGAGTGAATTGTTTATCGGAGATGTAGATTTTTCAGTTTAATAAATTATAATTATATGTAGGAGGGAGATTGTTAACCTAATATAACTGTTTGGTAACAGGATATGATTCAACAGGCACGGTATTGTGTCGATTATGTCTGCTGGTGTGCAAGTTCTAAAGGAGCGGTAATTTATTTTCGCTGTGGTTTGATTTGCAATGTATTATGTCATGCAAGTCAACCTGGTTCATTTGTACAATTCTTAAGACCATTATTTAGGACAGCATGTCTTGTATGCTTATTGTGTTATCAGTTAAAAACATATGGCTTGACAGTAAAAACGGTTAGGTGCATATAACACTGATATTTATGTTTAAGTCAAGTAGAATGGTTTTCAAATAAATCCTGATAAAGGGTTTAAATGAACAAATTAGATTTCCCTTTTATACGACCATAAGCAGTTAGAGTACATTTTTGCACAGAAGTCATATCATTTCTTGGAATGACATATAATCAATATTGTCTTCTTTTTTAAAAAGTGCCGAAAGAAATATTTTTTTTTTATTTTACCTCGTAAGCACTTCTGACCCTAAGCTGATAGAATATTGGCATGAACACATGGGCTGCCCCAAAGGCCACGAAGAAATACGACAGTCCAATCCAATAGTACATTGTTGTATAGTTGTACATTTCTGCCGGGGTTCCCAGTAATGTTATTGCAGACATGAAACTGGCTAGAAGAGACAGGGCTACGGGAAAAGGGTTCATGTTCCCGCCCGCCATCAGAAAGGTTTTTGTATTATTATGTTTTCTGTCTTTGATGGCAAAGAAAAGTCCAATTCCAGCAGATATCACCAATAAAAGTCCGAACAGGACATAATCCACTACTGTAAAATGGGCTACTTTTCCTGTTTGAAAACTAAATAATTTTTCGTCTGCCATGTTCAACGCTTATATAATGATTAATTTGAATAAAATATCTTAATGATCTCACAAAAAGGGATTTTCCAAAACACTAAACGAGAAAATATATTTTTAGCTAACACATTTCAGTTTCACAAACCATCACAAAATAATGCACCATTGGAAGGTAGAATGTACGTGTGAGCCACCAACTTTGTCCGAATGTATAGAATCACTAAATAGAAATGTTGACGAACAGGGACACGGCGATAGTGGTATTTATATACAGGTAAACTTCTTCCTGTTTGTCCCTATCCAAACAATATTCACAGTCTATTTAGTTCTTAAGGAATTATTCACACACGTGTGACATTGATTTCGCTATACAGCATTAATAAATCACATTCAAGTACGAAATATGTACGTTATTATTTTAAATTATCTTTTCATTTTAACATTTGTAATATTTTATAACGCATCTCCGTTATTAAGTGTAAAAAAAGGATATATTATATTTATCTGTATTACAGAAAAAAGCGAGAGTAACGATGAATAGGAAACCGCATTTAATTTAGTAAAATTGCAGCAATTTCTAATAAATTTTTACTGTGTGACTTTATCATTGTTTATGATTGTCCAACTCAGTTGATCTGAATTACAATGATAATATAAGGACTTGCAAAATGACTTTCTCTTTTCTCCTACTTTTCTATCCCTCTTGCGTAACAACTTTTCTATCACTCTTGCATAATTACTTTTCTATCACTCTTGCATAATTACTTTTCTATCACTCTTGCAAAATTACTTTTCTATCACTCTTGCATAATAACTTTTCTATCACTCTTGCAAAATAACTTTTCTATCACTCTTGCATAATAACTTTTCTATCACTCTTGCATAATTACTTTTCTATCACTCTTGCATAATTACTTTTCTATCACTCTTGCATAATTACTTTTCTATCACTCTTGCATAATTACTTTTCTATCACTCTCACAATTAAAAAAAATGCAAACATTCCTATTACTCCTTATCATTACCTCGCATCGTAGGTGGAGGGAATGTAGTAAGGTGATAGTGTGTGTGTGGTTGGTCTAGGGTGTGTTATGTCCTGTACGTAACGGAAGGATCGATGCCGAATGCTGATTTATAGATACGCTCTTTGCGCCTTCAGGTGCCCTCTTTCATTTTAGTTTTCTTGACAAAACCTAAGGAGAATATTAAAGTTTGGTCGATATTGGAACATTTCTACCTAGTTTAAAGATTAGGGTCGAAATGTCATACATGTAAATGATTGATAGCGTTATAAAGCTTCAATAAAACTGTTATTTACATTAACATGGCCCACGAAGAACTCGTGTCAAATGTAAAGGATGAGCTAATGCATATCAAATAGAGTACAAAAGGACACTTGATTTATTTAATCAATAATACCAACTGTGTCATTCAATATATCATATTAAAAATAAATTGATAAGAGATGTTTATTGAATTTTATATAGTATGCCTCTTTTCTTTTTGAAATTATGCACAGTCTTTTTCGTTAAGTATTTCAGAGGATTTGTGACATTATTATTAGTATACATTTAACGTTTGAAACGTCAATAAATATGTGTGAAAAAAATAGATTTTATTTCATTTTTTTTCTTTGGTTGCTTCTATATATACACTAATAATTTTGCATCATTTTTTGTCAGAATTTATCATAAAAGATTTTATATGCCCTATATGACTTCATAGATTTTTCAAAATCTAATTTACACACTAAATTTAACAACACTGGTATCTCTTTTTAATGTTAATCTGAAGTCAGTTAGTTCTTTCTTATCCTACTTTACCTCCAACTTTCATAAAAATACAAATTGTTTTATCACAAAAATTAAGAAGGTTATTTTCTTTTATCATACCAATGTAACGGGAATTTTCATTTCTTGTCAAACTCAGTAAGATGAATTATGCAATAAAAACTTAACAACATTGCTCCGTAGGTAACAACTCTATTATGAAAATGATTATATCTAAATTTTATTGTTGTGCACTGAAACAAAACTCATTTCCATCATAAAAGATTATTCATGTGAGAGATCATAATGCAAGTTATGTAAATAATACTAAAACTTTAAATATTCCTTGTAAAAATCCACCTTAAGTGATAAATGTCAGTCATTGAATTGTTATGTAATACTTTTTTTATTGTTAAATTTTTTATTTCAATTTTTGAAAGGTAGATGATGAAAAAGAAAAAAAGCTGAGAGGAGAAGTTAAGTGTTGATATATTATCTTTTATTTGGACACCGGAATGAAATATATGATGACAACAAATAGTATTCAAGCTCAAAAGTTCAATCAAATTACACAAATCAACACTGACCTCTTAAATGTCAGAAGTTGGTTCAGGTGTAAGCATGTTAAACTCCTAAGCTTACAACTTCTCAATTTTGAATTTCTTCTCAAAAAATCACAGAAAATTTTTATAAATTGTTATTCAAAGGACCCAAAAATTTATTTGATATTAACAAAAAAAATCATTCTAGCTGATCATATAAAACATCTTCCTTTTTTCATCCCAGCATTCTAGCTGATCATATAAAACATCTTCCTTTGTTCGTCCCAGCATTCTAGCTGATCATATAAAACATCTTCCTTTTCTCATCCCAGTTTCTGATTGAATAGTACCAAGTATACTGATTGCTTCTGAACCAACCAGGGAACCATTTCTGGTGCTTGTCACAATGAAATCTACAGATTTGTTCCTCTGAACATCTAGAATCTCTGAAGTTGAAAAAAAGAGCAAACAAGCATTCAAAATACACTTTTTGGTTCTGCAATTTTCTTCAAAACGTATCATCCCAATGTGGTACTTTTTCAAATAGCATATTATTGTTGTCTAGTAGCATTAATCTAAAAGCTCATGATCATGAGATTTTCATTAGGATATAGAAACAGATACACGTGTCCAAACAGAGAATTTCTATGTCAATTGGAAAATTTTATTTTTTTTATAACAATGTTTTTATTGACTTTACACATTTCTACTTTAAAAGACTAAATCTTTTATTTCAAAGTAAATAACTTGTATAAATCAAAAAACGATAACTGAATTTTAGATTAGGTACATGTGTACTTCAGAATTCTGCATAAACATCATAACATTACAGACAAACGAAAGGTGATAGTGAAAAAGGTTTCAAGTTTATCAATTCCAGCTGTCTGCCCTGAACTAACTTTGAATTCTATGGGAAATTCCCGTATTTCTACATCGTTTGGTATAGCATACCAGCAGCTAAAGATTAAAATTGTTCCATTTAAATTCATATGGCCAGATTTTCATATCTTCTTATCACAATACCCAGGCGAGAAGTGAATCACAGAAATATTTCACTACATATGCAAATACACATTAAAAAATAAAGACTTGGAGGTAATCCAGTGGAAAACACTAAAATATGTTTTCTGAGTTTCAAATCTTCACATTCGCCAAATATGTTAAACATTTTTTCATCATATACACCATATTATTTTCAAATCACTAAAAGAGCCTGCCTATTCGAAAAAACGTGTTATTTGTTTTAGTTAAAAGGCGAGGAAATGTGTTATCTACCCATATTCTGACATAATGTCTCTTTTTGATAAGTTCCTGAAGGTTCTGAGCAGAACGCACAGCTTCTCCAAATGAAATCTTTGTAATATTTGATCACATTTCTATTATACCATATCATTCATCATAAAATGTTATATTGTCTTGTTTGATGCATTTGTTTAACTGTTTTAAATCCTTTTTCTGTTTATTTTAATTGTTCGACTTATTGAAATTTCAACGTAAACTTTACATGTCCCAGTGGCGGATTTAAGGGGGGGCGCACCCGGCGCGCGCCCCCCCCCCCCTAAAATTGTCAGAGTTTACGTAAATCACAGTTTCGTCTACAAAATGTAAAAATATCTACTTGGTAGACCTCATTTTTACCCTACAAAATCTCTAGAACTCAGGATCTTCCGGGGGCTTCGTTCCCTGGGCCCCCACCAGGGCTTTGCCTGGACCCAAGGTGGCCACAAGACCCCTTGCCTACTTTTGGCGCCCCCCCCCAACTTCAATTCCTGGATCCGCGCCTGTGTCCAAAACGTTTTAGAAACCTACTGGTAATTTACTGAATAGAAACCAACATGGGTTTTACTGGAGAAGATATAAAATGCATATACGAGGGTTGATCCAAAAGTTCGTCGAATTTCTTTCTAAAATTTTATCTTGATTTGATGAAATCAATCAAGAGGCATATTTATAAAATAGAGTCATAATGCAACAATACTGGAAAATTTCTTCACTTTCCAATTACCAATAAGATCACACGAGCTTTCTGAAAATGGATAGTTGGGAAACCCGGGGGAGACTTCGATATAACGTCAAGTTAGATATGTCACGTCACGTTATAGAAGCATCTCACCCAAATGTCCAACTAAAATATGTAATTCTACAAAATGCTGCTTTTTTCTCCATTTTTTTCTCGTCAGAAAAGGCTAGGTATCCTCTTGCATCAACTTATCTTAATGTTTTACTCATATTTAAAAAAAAATACCCATCTTTCCATATGATGTTCCAATTTCAGTAGCAATGTCAAGAACAGTACGACAGCCGACAACGCCAATTAACGCTTTTAATTTGTCTAGGGGGATACGTACCTAAATATAGCCTCTAAAAAGCGACCACATCTTTTATCAACGTCCATTGAAGTTCTTTTTTTCTTAAAATTCTTATGCCACTGAAAAACCAGTAACTAAATGCATTTTTCCCAAGCCTTTGTCAATAATATTCGCGTTTAAGATAGAGTGATCCCGGGATTTTCACAAAACGTGTGACTTGACCGAAATTTGACGTTATCTAACAACTTAGAGATGGACAATAAACCATCAACTTATAAACTAAACATCCAGTAAAATCAGCAAAATTCTCACACAAAGGTTTATAAAAGATCGAGCAATCGTAATAATGACATAGTTTTCGTTTTATATACCACATAGGGCGATTTAAATCTTATTTCACGAATTAAGAATTTAGATAACGATAAACGCGTTAATGTCTCCCCCGCATATCCAAACAACCGTTTCTATGGCAACTGCCACAAAGTTATTATCAAAGATATTTCAGTTGTTTTTAAATTTAAAATATTCATCAAGTGTCTATATTTTCATTTGTAATTTTCAACAAATTCCACTGAAAAATAAATGAATTATGAAGAAATTCCACGAACTTTTGGATCAACCCTCGTATAACGA